CTGGGCTTGCTACCTGCCCCCTGAATATAACGGGTGGAATGATCATGCATTCCTTCGATGGAACGCCTTGTGACATGGAAAATGGCCTCACTTTTGTGGCTACACAATTCTTTGAATGCCTACTAGAGAGTATCCGGAATCCTGTCGATGACATTACGCCAGACCAGTTCTGTGAATGAACCAAGAATGGTAGGGCGAGAGATGCGACAAACCATTTCTTTCAACTGATTGACTTGTGATATTGCTAGCAGCTACCCGAGGGAAGAAATTGGAATGCAATCAATGTGCCCAGTGAGCCGCAGGTTCCTTAGTCTCGTATAATTAAATTTGATGTTGCTCACATAGTAAGTGAGCTCGAAACAACCATTCCAGCACTCGAGACTAACAATTTGCAAGGAAGATGTCAACACTTGTTCTTCTGGTTATGCCGAAAAGACACTCGGTTGAAGAATTTTTCGATCTTTTCCAAATAGTCAATGATGCCATCGATCACATCACACTACGTATCCAATTTCTTCAACTCAGACCGTCTGTCGCTTTCAAAGTGAAGGGGTTTCCTTTCGGGCACGCTACCTCAACATCTAACGAAACCGCCAAACAAGACTGGAATAGACAGTGCGGTAAACTACCGCTTCGACCAGACTGTCGGAACGTGAGAGGAGATTCTTGTCATTGATTGGTCACTGGGAACGACAATCGGAAAATTCCCATCTGGTTGGAATAAGTGTATTTAATGGTTTGTATCCAAGCGCTCCTCGACGTGCCAAACTGTCATGCTAACACGGAAATTTCAGAATCGTATCATCATGCCCAACTAGCAACTCCCATCAAATATCGAAGAATTATCAACAAGGCCGATGCTAACTCCCAAAACGATATATCTCCGAACCGTTTTGCTGCAAAGCATGGAACGATCCGGGCTAGATATGTCACATACCATCCACCCATGTAATTTTACTTCGACTCCCCCAGTCAGCTTGCCTCACGTCTTCAACAATCCACCAGTCTGGTACTCATACTATTGACTAGAACAGGAACAAAAAGCCTATTAACCGGTAGATGGCTGTTTTTGGCATTAGAAGGCTTTCGGCGTGGCCGCTAGCTAGGAAGGATGTAGTATCAAGCATGCATCAACTTGTCATTACCCCAATATTTCGCACCCACGTCCACTTTCTTCACTTGGAAATTCTGCTATGTCCCTGCACTGCCCCGTGTTGAGCATCGTGTGCGGTGTCTACACGCACGCTTGTGAGTATTTGCACTTAGTCTCACGATAGCGTTGCCAGCCAAAGTCTAACGAAAACGCCGAACACACCAAAAAAACCCCGAACAAGACACAATCTGGAGAAAGCCCGAGCTTACTAGTGTAGGTCGTCGCTTTCCTTTTGCTCACTCCTTAGCATTTACACTTTCGAAACTAAATTTCATGCATGCACCGTGCGGATAGTCCGGGTCTAGATCTCAGTAGATCCATCGGCAGCTCTGATTCAGCGTCGGGACTTCGCCTCCCCTGGTCACTCGTGCATGGATTTTCCTCACAAATCCATTGTCGACGTGGTGAGATCTAGATTATCGAACCACCAGGTTGGATTTGTACCCATCTTCTTTTTTCTTCTTCTTCTTACGGTCGCCTCCGGAGCTAGCGTCGTTATCAATCAACAATTCAGCCTTTGCACGTAAACAGTCGCGGTTCAAGTCTCAAGCTAGACGTACACCCCTAGGTAATCCCCGTCAGAGCTACATGCCCCAAAGTATTTGAATTGACAAGCGCGCACCGCGTGCGTGAATTTTACGTTGAGCTACCTATTAGAGTTCTTGTTTCTAACCCATGACGGCCGGTGAGAAGAGTCTGAACGCACGCACACACGCTAACCGGAGCCAGATTGCTGGGAATTGATGTACATATCTAGGTAGTGTGTCACTGGGCAGTCTGAGGCTGTGCAATCAATAGTCACTCGTGAGGGGAATCCTCTGTCGTTATTTGCCCCCGATACGAGATGATAAGCAACGATTATTAATTGTACAGGAATTGAATTTCTTGTTTTGTCATATGTATATATGTAAGTGTCTTTCTAGTACATAACATTAATATATATGGAAGAAAAATTAGGGTGCAGATGAGGATGAGCTATGAACACTGTGCGTTCGAACTGCAGTCGTTGTTCTTACTCGAAGATAAAATCTATGCTCAATTCCATGGATCCGATGAACTCGGAGAAAGTAAAAGTGATACTGTAGAGTAATGTCGTAGTTCTCCTTCTTTCCCGTCTTACCAAAGGGATTCACAAAGCATTGAACAAATTAATATGAATTCTTTTCGCTGCATTTCCATATCCATTTCCATCTCCTATTCTACTAACCTACAACTTTCATGATTTGACATCGATTCCATTTTCTCTCACATCTTCTTCATTCTCGCCTCATTCGCTAAGCTATTCTCACACCCCAAGCACCAAGCATCATGGAACAAAAGAATGAGCGTGAGTATGTAGACGAAGCTAACGGCACGCCCACAGAAATATATCTACACTCCTCGGAATTTGGCACCACCCCACCCTTTATCATCTTCCAGCTCTTCAAATTCACAATGTCTCCATGAAGGAATTTGCAGCACTGAATGATTTATATCAATAACAATCATATAGCGCCGAGGTATCAATATCGATCAGATAAATGCATATTTCACTAGGTATTTACTTCAAATCCCATTCTTGACTTCTGTTTGAAAACCATGATTCCTTGTATGCGCGACTGATGTTTTTTCTCTTGTGGCACAATCTGGATTGAAAAAAAAGGCACATCATAAGCTCTCTTCCCCCATCCCTCTCTCCCGTTCTTCATTTGTCCGATAAATTCAAACTTTCAATATTTTGGACTTCTCGGCCGGCTTGAAGTGTATACAATGAAGAGCGTTTTTAGCTTAAGTACAGGAAGGAATAAGCAAGATCTTGTTCTGTTTATGAAGCCGAGATGACTTTAAACAATGATCTTTGAATCTGGAATGTTTTGCTAAGCCAGACTTGTTGTTCACAATAAAAAGAGGGTTCGGAGCAAGTAAGCATCAAAAAGTTGCATAATATTCGACGAGGAACTAGAATATACCAAAAGCCATATGGGAGATTTGGTGGCCGTGAGATTAAGGGCTCATTTATATTTCACAAAAAGATTTTCGGGGAAAGTTCCACGAGTCCCTCTTAATAGGATATCCGTTAATCATAGCCTGACTATGTATTTTATGTTAGGTCTTTGCTGGGGGGCTATTAGGCAACTACTCTTTGTAAGAATGTTCAAATGCTCAGAAGAAGGATGAATGCTTTTTGATCTCGATTGCGGAAAAACTCGCTATTTTCAAAAGTTCTGGGATATATTGTCAACATGTAGCACGCCTTACTGCCAGATTTCCAATCAAAGGTGTATATAGAAATACTCACATTTTGTATTATCCATCTTGGTCCAATTACCGAACGTCTTTCGAACTCAGATTCCTGTACTCTCTGCGTGGATTAGGTTGTGTCTAGCTTCTGGATGATGAAATTTAAATGATCCAAGATTCTACAAGTGTAGCTGGTGGAAGGCAATGAGATATTAAAAGCTTCTTGTTTACTGTTTTTCCTCGGCACTAAACGGAGAGGAGAGGGCGAGAGGGAAATGATTATGAAATTCGGTGTTTCGTTTGTCGAAGTATGTTTGGGCGAAGGCAGGTTCTATTGTGTATAATCTATATTGAGGTTTCAAGACAGGAGTGTTTACAGAATTATTCCTGGGATTTTAGGGAGTTCGAACACGGAGGAGGAAGGACCATTCTACATGCAATAAATCTTGTGGCTCAAATGGAGGGAGATACTGGTGCTCGAGCGATGTGCGATAGGTCGTGAGAGCTCCAAAAATGTATACTATAGGCTCTGGTAGACCTGCCATTCCCATTTAGTGACGTCTAAAATATTCTCATGGCGTGACAAACCTGTTGATCCAGACGTATGCAATATCGCAAAGGGTCAATTTGGTTCACTTTTCAAAGTAGCAAGGAATGGATATTCTGGGACTTTCGACTGCCCAATCCAATGTTCAACCCCCTCAAAGGGGATGATTCGCAGATTACCTTGGAGTGACAGCATGTTAAAGGAGGTACTGATGGCAGGAAGGGTTGTCGCAGCTAGGAAAACCCTACACTCTGTAGTATCGAGTAGTTTGAGCTGTGCTTCGTCTGAGTTTTTAACGGAAATCAAGAGAGCCTTGTATAATATCAGCCGTCAGACTTGAGATTTGGCTTGGCCATGATGATAGAGTCGTCTGATTACCTTTCGATTGGTATTCGCAGCAGGTATGGCTACAACTGTGTACAGAATATCCGGAGGGCCCAAGTACCCCAATGTATCCAAACCTAAACCCTTTCCAAGAGTCTCTTCAATCCACCAGGCACATTTGTGGATTGAGTTGGCGTAGTAGCCGTATGAAACCATGCTAGTAGTGATCCCAGCCTTCTTGTCTGGATTGATGAGAACACAGAAGAGCCGGTGCGGCTCAAGACGAGCTCTACTATCAATGACAGTGGGTAAAAGCATGTCGGCTTCCTCGTAGGGGGGTTCAAGAAAGGTGGTCAATTTCAGCTCTGATTTGTGCCGAGCCAGCGCATGAACTCAATCCAAACCTGAGAAAATATTGGTGAGAAGGGGATGAGAATCGTTCAGAAAGGTGTCTGTCATATTCATATTACCAGGGCGAGATGTAAAAAAACGTGGGGGAATCTCCTTGACCCCTCAAGCAAACAAAAGCACTTCAGGGTATGTTGCCTAATCTGGCAAGAAATAGTTCTTTGCCACGAACCTGCATTCAAATTATGGCGCGGCGTGCTGCTACGTCTGCTTACTCTAATACCCCTGTTGTCCGACGAAACTACTGAGCTTCGATTGAAGAGAAAAAAGCATATGTAAAAGGAGATTCCAGAATGATCTTCTCTTACAAACCTACATCATATTCAATTCAGGAACTTAATTTTGTCTATGGCTCCTATCCTGGAATTCAAATCCGCTTTGGAGGCTTCCTCGTATCAAAGCCCCGATGGTGGACCTGCTTACTCCCTTCTTCGTAAGAAGGCAGTAGATATGGCCATCGCTATGGGTTATGATTCCAGTACTATGGTAGAATGTGGTGTGAATTGGTCCGATGACCACGATTCGTTCAAATATGTCAAAAACCATGCATATCCGCATTATGTCAACCAATGCAACTTTCGGGTATTCCAGTCGTTCGAAGCACAACTAGGTAAAAGATTCCAGGATCTTTTAGATACTCAACACATCGGTGTTATGGTGAAGACATACACGATTGATCTCAAGAGAGTTGTGAAATTTCCAGACTCGGTATGTGACTAGCACAGGATATTTTTGGCTCCAGACTGATTGTAAGCCAGCTTATTGTTGCATACCATATTACTGAGGTTTTACCCGATCGTTATTTTGGGGTGATATCTATATGGTCACTTTGGCAACAGGCTATTGTGGCTGACTGCAGAGGTTATGTGGTGTTTTTTTATTACGATCGAGGAGTGCCGGCAAATTTGGTCGAGGCCGGTGGCGTGTATAAGGATTTGTACGACGCGTTAGTTGAGCGAAAGGAAAAGGAAATAGCCATTGCAGCGAAATGGGAGGAAGAGCACCCCAAGAAGTCAAGGCAGCTCTTTAAACCTCGCTCTTCATTGCTTTGTTGTAGTCAAAATCAACCCAACAGGACTTTTGAATATTTCCCACTCCAAACACCCGCAGTCTATTGTCTTCTACACACAAGAATTCCAGAACAGCACCTTAAATGGGAAGTTGCCTTGATAATGTGTAGACCACTCGAAAATTGAATCATAATTGTCTTTTGAAATTCGCTTTTGAGTGAGAAGATCACTTCATGTTTAAGCTGCCGAATGATGTTGTCGGTTGCAGGTGATTACTGGGTAGGCTCTACGTAGAAGAAAAAAGAGGCCGGTTTTGATCACTTTTTAACACTTTCAATAAACCAAATTCTTCTCCTTAAATCTAAAATAAAATACAACATTTGATAAGAATCAATATAAATAAAAGGTAAAAAGTAATATGATATTTTCAGATTTATTTCTTTTATTTATGATTGATTTATAATACAATTAATTTAAAGATTTTATTAAAGATTTATATGATCAAAATCGACCTCTTTTTTCTCCTACGTAGAGGTAGGTACCTACCTATGATAAACCACAATCCCGGGTCCCGACACATTGGTTCTCACTAAGCCTTATTATTATGTATCTATGTATACATGTATGTGCTTGCAGGATGCAACAATACGATACGATACGCTGTGATATGATAGATACGATAACTCCACCAAATCTTCCATCCTGGGGTACAGTACGCTACGCTACGATGCGGTATGCTACAGACGGAAACGTGCATGCAGCAATCATCAAGCATCAAGCCACCAGTTAAGTTTAATTGACAGGTACCATACCCCCAGAATTTAATCATCAGAACTCTCTCCCCAAAGTCAAATTTTAGTGGAGTGAAGACGACATGATATGAAATGTAGAAAGAATCCCAGGGATCGGAAAATTCACAAATATATTAATTATTCCCCCCTTTTTCCCCGCCTCGTCTCTCTCCCATGCGCATGACCTTTCCTTTTCCGGTATATAGTATACTTACTACCTAGGTAGATATTACCTATATAGAATAGATGGATGGGCTCGGATGGGGAACCGCATTACATGCATTGCATTGCCGTGATAACCGTTTTTGTGGTTTTGTGGCGTTTCTGGGGCGGAGACGAACGAACGGGCGGATACCGCGGGTTGGGGATGGACTGGATTTACAAGGCTTCGATTTACAAGGCTTCCATTAACCTGGAGCATGGAAATTCGTGGTGGAGATATGCTTGGGTGGATAGTATGCATGATTGTGGAGTTTGGTGGAATGCTTTGTAGATCGTTGTTATTTATTCAAGTGTGTCTACTTTTGACCCGGCAAGTCTGAATAATAAGATTGAGAGGAATATAAAATGCTGTTTATGATGGGAAAAACATCCTCGATAATCGGGAGCTGGGTAGTATTATCACATTCAAGAATATTTGCTCAAATACCTAGACTGTCATATTCTCAATCCCATGACGATCAGCATCTCTCTTTCCCAATGAGGGGATTGGCATCACACACCCACCTACGTACATACGTAGTAACACAATACACGACACTCGATGCGTAACGAGAACACATAACTCCAATATCAACTCCACAGTTCTACCATAGGAACTTCTCCTAATAACAACACAAAGCTATTCACCTTTCAAGTCCCCTCCAGTAAACCAATGTCGAATCCGTTGGATGCGTAGAATGAAAGCTCTCATGTGAAATATGTCTCGGTTATGCATACCTAGGTATATATATACGTACCTAGGTATGTATACTATGTAGGATTTCCAGGGGGAAAACATCATCACGATTTTTTCACCACGTCCATGAAAGAATTTCACCATGATATACCAGCTGTACAAGTCACACTACCAAAAGCAAGAACATATACCCATCAACATGAATCAAAAAAATCAGATTTTCTAAGTAACCTTACACAAGCGAAAAGAACACATTTTCCCCTATTCGAAAGTAAAAAGAAAATTAATCATCTTTAACGCTCTTCCATCTCTCTTTGGTAATAGACTCGGACCGCCTTTTGACCTGCGTCTATCATAATTTCTACCCCTTTTTCGCGGCTGCGTGAAGAATATTAAGTTACTTTTTACAACTCCTTCATGCAACGCAACTCGAATATCCACCACTCTATCAAAATGCCAAAGAAATTCACTATACTGAACAAAATATATCTACAAAAAAAGCAGGTGCCATCCAAATACTGCAATCTGGTAAACCTGGATTTCAAGTGTGTCCAATCTTGGGCGAGTGTAGAGAGATACATCCCCATACGCAAATGTCCAAATTGGGGGTTATTAACGATACAGAATATCGAAAATTGGCGGACGCCATAAGTTGGGTTTAAGAAATAACGGTGTCAGTTATCATCGAGTTTACTGTTCTCACCATCATTCTCTTCTTTTCTTCATCCATGATGAGAACTCCACGAACTTGAAGGACAGAATCTAAGGTCTCTACAACTTTATGAAAGCTGCTTGCTGCACCTCTTTCCTGTGTAATTCGTGCTACAGCGAGATTTATCTTTCTGCCACGGTCCAGATGTTCGAAAACCGTTAATATCTCGGCGGCGAATGATACCTCTTTTAGGTTCAAAACTGTTTGATGTCAGTAAAATATTGTGAAAAACTCACGAGTAAGCCGGAGACTTACAATTTTCTGAGCCGACTTTGCCAAAGACTATGTTCCTCTGCTTATCAACCTGAACATCTTTAATGCCATATCGTTTCCAGTCTTTGAGCACCTTGGCAATCTCCAATCTTGCTGTACGTCTCGAAACGGAGAAGCAGATGAATTTCGAAGCGGGCTTTACATGGAACAACTTGGCTAGCCAGTTTTGTTGAGGCTCTATTTGACGTGCTCGTGTGGTCTGATGAATACGATTTTGGCGACTCTGTTGTCTGGAATCTGCAATAGAATCTTGAATACTCATTTCCTCGTCGAACATATCATGTGCTGTCGACCTGTTAGTCTCATCAACATCAAAATGTTTCAAATTTAACTCACTAGCAACAGTCATGCCGGTTTTTGGTAGCTTTTTCTTGAAGAGCCTACCAAGAATGGACCCCTTTTTCTTTGTCGGTGGAATCGGTGGAAAATCTTCTGCTTCTGACTTTCGACCACCACTCTTGCTTGATGACTGGGACAATAAAGTATCATTTCCTACAATTGATGAACTTCTGGATTCGCCTTCATCACTGGCCTTGGAATTGCGTCTAAACCAACCTGATCGCTTTTTCACTATCGTTCCCGCGTTACTATCCTGAGCATATGGGTCATCTAGGTTGGAGTCTTCATCAATACGAGATAATTCTGGTCCGACATCTGCCTTGGAGCCGGCATAATATTGGTGATGTAGTCCCTGACCAGAAGATTGGTTCTTGAGAGAGTTGTCAAAAGATTCTGGCCCAGATTGTCCCTTTGTCTGGCCGCCTTGTGAGCTTTTCTTCCTAATAGTAAGAGGGGCTGGAGCTTTAACAGGGCTAAATGATGCCGCGGAAGCATTAACCACCCGGATTGTTTCTCTTTCGTTGAAAAACTTGGAATTCTTCTTCAATGTACGAGGTTCAGGAGCTGATGCGATGCGGTCAGATTCGACTTTTCGAGGGGATGGTTCATCTCCATATGCCTCATTAATCGCAGGCAATGGCCGGGTGTAACTCTTCTGTTTCGTTTCTGCAGGTGCAGAAACTGCGCGGCGATCTTGACGTGTAAGCAATGGGGATGCAGATGGAGGTAGTATAAGACGATCAATGTGTGATACCATACGATCAATGTATCCAGGGGAATCTTCTCCAGAAGCCATGCGTAGTGTAGCCTGCTTGCGTGCTTCTAACAATTCCCTTTTGACAGAATCCGATCTAGCAGGTGGCGGAGGTAATGGTCGTGAGTCGAAAGATCCGTGTCTGGGAGTTTGACTTTTCGCTGGCACATTAAGCATAGGCGAAGGACCGCGAGAAGCCACGCTTGAATTTCCTGAAAATCGCGATGTGTTCTGGGAATTATTTGAAGAAACGACGGATGTTCTGTTGAACGCTTCATCGCAGTCTTTGGCCAAGCTACTGCTCAATTGACGGACATCATCTTTCCATATTAGACTACCCCGTCCAGATTTTTGTATGATAGTAGTAGTAACCTTTGTGCTCCCTGCTTGTGACTTTTTCGATCGGATGTAGCGTGTTGAGGTAGAATTTTCAATGGCAGGTCGTAGAGAGACTCTCTCATCAGCTCCCGCTACTTGCTCTCCTACAGAAGTCAATGGGCCATTTGCAGACATAATCTTTTGACTACTTGATGATCGTCTCTTAATATGTGAGAACTCTACACCACGTTTGTGACCAACGGTAGCACGGAAGGGAGCACTTCCTCGACTTCGAGTAGAGCTTGCAAGCGAACTGCGAGAGGCATATACTCTAGATACTGGCTTCTGTAATCTACCCCGATCGCTGGTAGACCTTGATGTTGACAGTCGAGAGGGCTGACGGTACCGGCCATGTTCTTCATTCTGAGGAGCATGAACAGTGACTTTGATCTGATCGTCAGACCTGAGTGAATCAAGGTGCTGTGGCCTTGAAGCATTGAAAGGATCATAAGTGTGTTCGGACCTATTACTGACCACAGTAAACCTGGAAGCTTGTTGGCGATGATGACTGCTTCCTGTCTGTGGTGGGAAGTGACAAGTAGAATATGTCTTTGTCAGTGTCGAGGGTCTGATGTGGTGGTAGTCACTGTTGGAATAACTTAGGTCAGGTTCGTAGTCTTCAAGTTGAGAATCCCTATATCTCAGTAGCAAAGTGTAGAAGCGCTTCTGTTCGTTAGGTCTGTCTTATTATTAGCATATATTTAATAGATAAAAAAGTTAGCTAAACCACCCACTTTTCGCTCAACAGTGTCTCGATGAGTTGTTCTTCTGAGTACGCATGCCACATAGACCACAGTTGCCTTAATAAATCCTTGTCAATATTACTTCGGCGTGACACTGGCCGTGCACAGTCGATCAGACTAAGGGACGGGATGCTTTGGCCGCTACCAAGATTGTCCAAATAGTCGTATTTTCTCACCACTGGGTGCTTCCAGATTTGATTAAGCGTAATCCTCTCTTTTGGATTCACTTGCAATATTCTAGAAATCAAATTTGCTGCTTCTGGTGTGAATTCTGGTGCCACTTCATACTCCCCTTTTT